AAAACGCAATCATTCTTGTGATCTCAACACAAACAATGCAATGGCAAAGTTGATATAAAGTGACGAAAGTTCTGACTAATCACCAACAAAAGTGAAAACGAGATCATATAGCCTTGCACTAACCGAAACCACTAAGTATGACTCAAAAGTAGCCATATGGCCAACATTAGGTGATTGGCACATAATCCTCAAAAACTTTCGTTTTGCAGCTTCTGATGGATCTTCTTATGCGAGGTCTCGAAATCTGAACAACATACTTACATTTGTCGCTCATGCCCATTATAACTTACACATGAGATCAGTAAATTTTAAAGGACTTTAAAGAGAAATTTTGCTTGAAAGATGGTGGCTACACAAAAAGCAAATAAAATCACATCTTCTTCCTGGGATTCCGTACTGAGTGGTTTGAGCTCAGAATAAGTTGTCTTTTCGCTTTTTGTCACCTTCTCCTCGCTTCCTGTAGCTCTTCTGGGCTGAAATAAACATTAGGTTGTAATATTACGGTAGAAACAACAGACTTACTCTTTTGGCTAATCGTGAACTGTCACTGAACGTAGAGCCATGAAGATCATGTTCTCCTCTCATATTCTTCGTATTCTCTTCGTGCATCTGCAGTGAAGAGGTTTCAAACAACTGATGCTATAATTGTTCGTCATAGCACCACGAAAAAGCATAAATTTTTCCCAACCCGTTTACCCGCATCATCGCAAGCGGTCTTTTTGGATAAGGCAGGGACTAGTGTTCTATCTTCACTCTCTACAACAATCGTAGACACTTCTGGGAGCGTGCCAAAATCTTGTTCGGCTTTCTTCCTTTTAAGCCTAGTGATGGCACTGAAGATCAAAGAATATTTAGTGCTAGTTTTCAAGGCGACAGTTATCAACCTCTCGTTAGTTAAAATAGGCATTTCAACAATGTTGTCCTGTTCTCCTGGTAAAGGCGTATTGGCAGGAATAAGATGAGGTATTCTGCGCCTTTAAATACACGATTATTCAGATTTGTTTCCCAACAAAGATGCTCTTACCGTAACTTGCTCCTTGGCTGGTTCTCAGCAAATACTTTTGATAACGATTCCATACGCTGGAATTTAGAATAGAAACGTGGTGAAAGTATTGACTGAAAACTTGCACCACAAAACAACGTTACTGAGTAAGTATCATCTCCATCAGCACATTCCTCGTGATATTCACACATCTTTCCACTGTTCAGGCAGCACGCCTTAGCCATGCTATTAGCGCAGAGATAACTTCGAAACAAAGGACAAGGAGTGCCGAACTGTCCTCCACCACATGAACACAGTAGAGACGTTGTGGCCTGCACCCGTTCTGAAAGGATAATCAGTTCAATGTGCGATGCTGGGGGGCGGCAATTAACGGGATTGCGCTTTCTCTTATTGGAAATCAACAAAGAAATTTAGTGAAACAACTCAAATTAATATTAATATAGGCTATATAATGAGTTCATTTATTCAGCCTGCATCAAAGTGACCGCTCAAGCGCAGGTACAGCCTTAGAATCCATGAGACTTAGACAATGGCAGGCAATCCTCAGTTTTATTTTATCCAAAACTACGCAGTTGCTACTGAAGGCAACGCAGAACACTGGGGGCCGATTTGGTCAGTGGAGTCCCTTGGACCCTTTGCCATCGTCATCGCGGTAGGCAGCCACTCCTGATCTCCGAAAATTTGCGTTTCTCTTCTGATAGTAAATGAGTCTACCGTAATCCCTAACATCGTCCCTTGCCATCAAAACTAGCACTAGGTAATTATAGGACGGAACACGTCTGCAATAACGTCTTCCATGGACAACGATTAGAAGAAAGAAAGCATGTTGTTGCGACACCGGAATTTGTGCGCTTCTCTGGGTCCGAACGTTTTTGGAAACTATAAGCGGACACTCTATCAGGACCACTGTGACCCAAAGAGAAAAATAACTCAAAACTGTACAAGTTCAATATTTCACCTTTCGTAAAACCCAAAATGCCCATAACATATGGACTCAACTGCACAGTAATACACTATAGACAAATTAATTTAAAAGGTCACGAAACTTCGGAGCAACTGAGGCACCTGTTATTTGAGGAATGCGACCAACAACAAAGTAGTTGCTTGCCATCTTCAAAGTTTTACGGACTGTTTAAGGCTGTATGCACAAGGAAACTATTACAAAACTGCTTGGGAACTGCTACAACACAATTACTCGGTATTCTTTTGCTGTTTTTCCTGTTACGATAAATTAGCAAAAAAAACCAACGCGTTGCTTAAGTACCGCCTTGTAGCGCATGCAAGAACACATAGAATCAACGATTTAGTCCTATATACCTAAATCATGTGAACCAGGAAAAGTGGAAAAAACTTCAGCAAATTACACGACTAAAGGAAAATTTCAGCTGCTGCATCTAAATACTGTTACAAAGATGGTGGAACAAAGAAAACAGACCCTCTCTAGATAGTTATTCGACAAAATGAAAATCTACGTGAGTGCGCAAACTAAATTTGTTTTAACGTGCTTTTTTGCTATTTATGAGATACACCTATAGAAAAACACGTAATAAACTTATTTGTACCATCATCAGGTAAGACATGTAGCCCAAGTGTTACGGGCAACAAATCGTATGGATTGACCCATGCACTGACGGAATCTGAAAAGATTAACGACGAAGGAAATGGAGCCAAATTCCTCGGCGATAAACTTCTAAACTGAGAGAGGAACAGCAAAAATTGATGAATCACTTGCGATACTTTCCACCTACTTTCGTTTGGCCATGGATCCTTACACTTTGAGAAATGTACGCGATATGGAAAATGTGGGCTATTTTCCCAATCCACACCTCCGATGTAACCGTATAGATATGGTAATGTATTCCCTCGACTTGGCACTGTATCAAAATTGCGCAACTAAAGCTTAAATCTTTGTGGAGAAAGTGTTTCAAGTGCAATCTCCTCGACACTCACATAAACTTTGTCTCCAATCTGGAATCGAGGTGTATCGGCACGATATTGATCCTCGCTGACACTTTCAGCACTTTCTTCAATTTGCTCAACATATTCCACATCGATATGACCATCGTCATCTCCTAAGGACAACTCCTCACCCACTAGCCATGGTGCTATCTTGTGATCGGGGAGGTTGTATGGTTTTCGATTAAACATACGCTCAAAATCTCTGGATTACCAAGCTTCTTACTTCTGCTGAAAAAGTTAATCTTACCTCAAAAGCGGACTTCTTTCCGGATTGATTCAATACCATTGTGGTGAACTGGACCATTTCCACCCACCTATGCTTACTTTGGAGCTCGAACATAGCTTGCTCATAAAGAGCTCGCAAGAAGCTATCGTAGTCGGGGGTCAAGGAAGGCGATGTAGACCTCTTAACAGATTAGATGACGCAGAATGCAATACAAACAAAAATATGAGCGTTTTAAAAGATACTTTGGGGCCCTTTTCGTCCGTCTTTTGAGACACTATTAATTCGAAAAAGAAGCTCTTGCTACACCAAAAACGAAATTATGAGAAGAGGAGTAAATGTATGACAATAACAGCTGGTTTGCGCAAAAAACTCACGTCGTATAATATTTCTTTTAGCGTGACCCGAAAAATGCCAGCAATAGCATTCATAACATCTCGGATCACAGTAACAGAGTGGCCACAACTGAATCCTTCTAGAAGAAAAAGCATTCTTTTTTACAAAAAAATATTCAGATTATCTGCGAATCACTTGAATTCCATAAAGATTACCTGGCACACCAAACTGAAGGAAGATGTCCGTTAAGATTCTAATGAGTAATTGACGTGTTCCAGCTTCAGGTATAGGCTTACAAAACATATATCCAGTTTTTACATCAGTCATTATGAGTATGTGTGAATAAACCATGTTGACATAAACACAGCTGTCGGCAGATATCAAATCTATCTAAAAAGAATCCTTACCAAAGGTTACCATTGAATCCAGTCATGAGGTACCTGAAGATATTGCATTGGTCTATCGGCTGGACAACATGGCATCTCCGGGAATACGATATCGAGTCCAGAAGGCTTAAGTTCAACCTTCTAGATTGGATGTGGGTTTAGTTAGTAACGTTATACCGTCGAAACATCGGCATTGTCCATAATATCTTGAAGATCGCGGTATTCCTTTGCGTGACCGTAGTGGAACAGCTGATAAAACGCATCCACTTTGCTGAAAAACGAGAATCAATGGATCGAGCACGATTGAAGAAATAGAGCTGACCTCGTTTTAGGGTCAATCTTAAAGGAAATCTGAGCTGGGCACCAAGCTCCTTCTTTCATCATTCGAACTGAAGGCAATCTGTGCCTGAAATAATAACCAATGTGAGTTCAAATCAGTCCCCCTTCCCCCCTACTCCCTAAGTCATATTATCAAGAGGAACTAATCATATACCTTGGGTTTCTAACTTCACAAAAAGCGCTAACCTTCTCGATTGAAGTATAAGTTTATGCTCACTTCTAGAGCAGTGCATAATTTGCCTCTTGTTATGCGGCTGTTTTGTATGTAGCATGAACCTACAGTTGCAGATTGATTCAACAAGATGGCGGAAGCGCTGAAATATAATTTTCTGCCAATTAAATGATAAACAAAGAGAAAAAAAGAGTGAACTTGCCTCGAATTCCGCAATACTGGCAAATGTTCGGTGATGCATTTCTACAGGCATTTTGTGATCTACCTTAATATGTTGCATTGGCAAGAAGAGCTCAAAGAACAAATGAAGCTTACAAGAAGATGTTTTCTGAGGATGCTCATGGATGCATAAATCTCTCTGCAGTGAAGCACAGGGCAGACGTGATTATTCTGCGAACAAAGTTAGGACACAAATGCTGTCTTTGAGAAGATGTAAATCAAAAAAATAAAAATCAAAGATACTAACATTGTAAGAGCCATGGACTTTGTAGCGATGATGTGTATATGATGCTTTGTTAACAAATTCAACTGTTTCCCCTAGCTCGAGGCATATCCGACAGATAAACGTACCATGACCCGTTTCCAAAGGTTGATACAACTGAGAAAGTGTGACAGTAAAAACAGAAGAGTGCCAATAGTGGTATACCTGATAGATTATATTCTGGTCATGTTGTGTGTGAACCATACTATCGTATTCGTACAGGTATTGACGTCCAGTAGCAAGTTCGCCTACTTCTTCAACAGCCTCTGCCATCAGATCATCAGCAGGAATTACTTCAATCTATATTTGTAAACTGTCACCACGTGATGCAAAAAAACCATGACTGAACAAAAAATGAAAAGAACAGATCAAGTACCAGCGGTAGCCCACATCCCTGTGCAAAAAAAATTTACTTCTGCTAATGAAATTATTCGTCGACATGATCATATCTATGCACAATAGGGCGCTACTGCAAGGACTGCGGTATGTATACAGTAGGTGGTAAAAATCAGATCCTTGTAAAATTATCTAATGAGATTGTCTGACATAGTGATAATGAATACCATACCCATCCCAAATAACGTGGACTTAGCGTTACAAGCCAAGGATTAGTAGCGTTGTAAGAAGTTGTTTTTCCCCATAACTTCACCTCTACAGTAAAACATATGATACTAAGCGTTATAATTGCGATTAGCGCCAAATAGCTCTGTTAGGCGAACTTTCATAATCTCTGTGACTACGACTTCGCACGGTATACCTGCCGTCGTTATTTGCACGCCAAGAGCTCCCATAGAATAGTATTCAGGCATTTTTACAATTTTGCACACCCCTACGGTCTCGCTACCCTAATGTTACGTATGACGTATCGTGCACTATGGATGACATACAGTTCATGATATCAGACCCCACTGGAAAACTTCCCAGACAAATGCGTGATACCTCCTACGTTACTAGCGTAACCTCACAATAAGACCATATTGTGCAATATATTTGCTAGTCAGATATCTTCCCCCTCCCCTCCTCGTGATTCTCTGAAATGAAAGAGTAACATAAAGTTATGCACACATATCTCACCATTTCACTTGACAAGGCAGCATAATTCTGAGGCAGAACTTTCGTAGAGACGTCTGAAGTGCTGGTGTAAACGGCATCCTGATATGACTTTCAAGGGTTAGAATAACATGAAATACTCAAAAAAGGAGGTTGAGAGCGGTTCGAATAGCGTTTTACCATAATATCTTATCTATCATATCTGAAACTTCCTCGAGAGGATGCACATCACGCTTTTATTCGATATCCGCTTGTTTTGGCATTTTCTACAGTTTCAATGGTGTACAGCTTTGAAATGGCAGCACGAGAAGCGAGATTACTGTGCTCAAATTGTTGTTGTTACTTCTGATTAGAAACAACTTAGGATCTAACCGGAAATTCCGATATCGCAAATTCTAAACTTCCTCCAGGTCAAAACATTTTAGTAAGTGCTCAAGCAAAATGACACATACTTTTCCCAATATTGCTCCTGACACATACTTTTCCCAATATTGCTACTCAAATGATCAAATTACTGCATTTCTCTCAAATGTTCAAACGTTGCATGTTCGAAGTATTTAAATCACCAAACATTATCCCTGTACATGAATATTTGTTTTTAATACAATTCAGACTAAAAAGATGGATAGGAAGCAAAAAGTTCGTATAGCAGAAGATCTGCAAAAGCATCGCACTATATAGTAGAAGAATGAAATAAGTCAAATGCACACAGGCCAAAATACATTTCTTACATTTCAAGATGGTAAACAAATACCCTGCTTCCTTGTTCGGAAGCCACTGTGAAAAGATCGATTGCATACCTGATGCTGTCGATGTCGTATTTCCTGCTCGTGGTCACGATCAAGCATTTGATGACCTCCAGGTAATGCATCATGCTCCTGTGGTTGACCCGACATTGTGAAGCTGGAATATTGCCCTGTTTCGATACAGATAATCAAGAAATAGCAGAGGAGCCAACCGCGATGGAGCCCGCCTTCTTCGATTTTCGCAAAAGCTGCACAGTCCGGGCACTAGACTGCGAGCTTTAAGAAAAATTTGAATTTTGGCCCGTTGTATGCACCATTGAGTTCATCGGCTATCGTTTGCGGTGCTGGTTCAATTTCTCTTCTGTTGCTCTTTTTGCTACTTCTGAGCTTTTAATTTCGTAATGAGGGATTGCGTTCATGTACTTCTGAGCATTGTGATTTGCTAGAAGTCTGCTCTACAAAGATACAATCTTGGAGATTTTAACTCTATTTGTAATGAGTTTCTAATACTCCTCTCTGTACAACGTGCAAGCAAACAGCTACATTTATAGACGATTTGACGGTATCCCACTTTCTCCAT